AGCGTGTTCAGTCACGTCTCACAGCCCGGCAAACTTTCAGCCCTGTCCACGAGGGTTTTTGAAAATCTTAACAGGGAAACTTGTAGCTTAGTAATAAGAGTTTTTAGCGCCCATCGAAACTGGACGAGTATCAGCCGTTTTAAAAACCTTTCCTGAAAAGAAAATCTTGCTCTGTAAAACCTTTTTGGTTAACTTTTCAAAACAGCTTTGCAGACCCTGGAAGACGCTACTCTTTTCCCTCCCCGCGCCCCGGAAAAGAGCCGCAGACGCCAGCGAAAGGCTGCGAAACGCCTGCAACGCCTTGGGTTTGCGAGATCGCCCTTGCAAAGACATTTCAGATTTTCCATCAACTCTACAGAAATATCACAGTAAAATGCATGCGAGAGTTAAGTAGCTCAAACTCGAGCGCCGAGCACGGCAGATTCCGCGGTTTTATTTTTGCAAACTGATTTCGTGTGTGTGCGCGCGCGCGCGCGTGTTGCTGCTTTCTTTCGGCACCTGATTTTTTTTTCCCCCAGCGCCCGCACGCGGTTCTGGGCTACCCCGCGCGCCGTCTGCAGGCCGCGACAACTACGGCCTCCCTCGGGGAATGCGGTGGCCGGCCGCGGTGGCGACGACTGCAGGCGCGCGGCTCAGCTCCCCGCGGCCCACGGGTTTCTTTGCTCATCCATGGCGCAGCCGAGCCCACCGAGTCTGAGTCGGACCAGGGGTTGCTGAGAGCCGCCAGGAAGTCCCCACCCTGCACTGCCCCCGGGGCCAACGTGCTCGGCAGCTCCTCCGCAGAGCTTTGCCCCATCTGCCCCAAGGCTCCAATGGCCCCTCCTGGCCTGCCCAGGGCTATGGCAGCTGCAGGCCAGCTCTACCCATTGCTCTTCCCGTCCAGACCCCACTGGCCTTGAGCCCTGCTTGCTCGCAGATTTGTCCCACCCGGGACAGGGAAAGGAAAAGAAGGCGCGTTCATTTTCTTAGCATTCAGGCACTATTTTATAAGGGAACTCTTCCAAAATTTTCATTTAGGAAAGTTGAAAGAACGGTACAACGAACGTCTGTTTACCCCCCACCCCCAACAGGATGCAACAACTGTTAACATATTGCAATACTTGCTTCCTTTCTGTTCTCTCTCATAATGTGTGCGTATGTTAGCTGCATCATTTGAAAACTGCAGACATCGTGACATTTCACTTCTGTACACTTCAACATGCATCTTCAAGGATAAGGACCTCCTTACCTTCAATACCATTCTCACAAATACAAAATAGCATGGTCCCTAATAGGGTCTAACATCCAGGATAAGGGCTCCTTTCCCTCCCGTTTTCCCCACTTCAGTCTTAAATATCAGTTTCCCTTCTTGTACTGGACACATGTGTAAACAATTGCTCCTCCCTCTGTTATGCCCACCAGAGGACTATGGGGCTCACCCTGTCCCGGGGCCTCTCTACCTGAGAGCTTGGTGGGGTGGCGAGGGCTGGGGCGTCTCGACAGACCTGCACTCAAAACGCGTGGCGAGAGCGCTGCATCCACGCGGTCTGAGACCCCCTGTTTCCTTTCCCAAACCATCTCAGGTTTGGGAAGCACCGAACAAGAAGCCTCGCTCAGCCACCTTGCGCCCTCCCGGCGGCTTAAAGGAACCACCAGAGGACCGGTGAGCGCGGGGTGGCGTCCATCGGAGGAGCCTCTGGGTGCGCGCTGTGCTATCTCGTGCCTTTGGCTTTGCTGTTTGCCATCCTCCGTTTTTTCTCCCCGAGCCCTCGCTATTCGTCTTGGTGTTGGTTACTCTGGGCGCCCAGTGCCCTTCTCGGCCCGCCCCCGCAGCGGGCCAAGGCTGCGGCTTCGAGCGCCTGCACAACCCCCTTCCCTACCGCTCCTTTCCTCCCCTCCCCCCTTCCGCCCCCGGGCCCCGGAGCCGAGCGGGGCCACCGGGGGGCGGGGAGCGCCAGCAGCGCGTGGCCACGCCCCCCGAGCCGGCTTTTTCTAGGGCGGCTCCGGGAGCCTCTCCGCCGGCTGCGCCGCTCGCCTCCCAGGGAGCGCTCCGCGCTGGCCCCTAGCTCCGCGCCGCTCTGCTCCGCCTCCGCCACGCCGCTCTCCGAGCCTCGGCAGCAGCCAGCGTCCCTTCCGCGCTGCGACCCCGGCCCTCGGCTCTGCGTCCCTGTAGCTCCGTGCCCGGCACCTCGCGCCCCGCAACCTCGCCGTCTCCCAAGTCCCGGTCCCCGCTTCTGTCGCTGTCCGTCGCTGTCCGTGTGTCGCTCGCTCGGTCTGTCTCTCCGCCTCCCCAGCCCTTCCTCCCTCTCTCCCTTGCTGGCTTGCACGTTCGCTCGCTCTCGGACGCGGCGAAACAGCTTCGCAGGCAAATCCCAGAAACCTTTGCAAAAAGCTTGCAATGAAATTTAAGAAGTTCTTCGATTTCGGCGCCATTTTCGAGTGGAGCCAGAGGTGACATGCGATTTTTAAAAAAGGGACTTGGTGGCTGGCCTCTTTCCCGATTGTAACGTCTGTTACGGCAGGCCGAAAAAAATCTGGTGGTAATTCTGAAAAAAGTGCTGTGGTGTTTGGGGGTTGTAAAGCACGTTTTGGGGGCGGGATGGGGGCAAATCTGACCTTTAAAGTGTTTAACAAATGAGTGCGACCGGGAAATTCTCAGGAAACGGACTGGGAAAAAAAACCTAACATGGAGGGGCGGGGAGAGAAAACTGAGTAAGGGGCAGTGACCGACTGTCAGCCTCGCTGTGGTCGGGAGGGACTGGTTTTGACAGAATGTAAATGAACTTTTCCTGACTCTTACTTGCAAGCAGTTAGTTATGTCTTGGAAAGAAATGTGTGATTAATTTCACATTGTCTCTCCCGAATTTTAACTTTCAAGGTTGTTTAGTTTTCCCTGTAGGGAACTTGACATTGGGAAAGTTTGGCTAGAATGCGCCAAGGGAAGGTACATCGTGTGTTTGGGGTGTGGGAGACGAAGGCATATGCAAAATTAAAAGACAAAACGTTATAAAGTATGAACGGAGGAAGAGGCGTATTCTTTGGCTCTTAAATCATTTAGCCAAACACATTGCAGTTCTGAAGGGGGTGGGGCTATGGCAACTCGAAAGTATCGATTCTTTGTCTATTGTATCAGCGAATGACCCTCTCCTGAAGTGTCAAGACGCCCCTTTGTAATCTCTTTTCGTAAGTAAATTTCAGTCTAAGGGGAAATATGTAAACTAGGGGATCAGGGTGGCTCTTTAGGGGTGTAACTCGTTGTATTATCACTGGGAGAGATGAAAGGGGTTAGGGTAAAAGGTGTAAATGAATTTGATTCCAAGAACAATCTGGAAGGGACCTTCGCCTTTGACACCGATGCTATTTCGAATGAACTTTTGTTTTTCTAAGTAGTCAACTAAGGAAATGTTAAATTAGGCATGACTTTAACTTCTGACATGATGGCTCGTATATGTGTGTGGAACAAAATATAGGGATAAAGTTGTGGAGTTTTAAATTATAATTGTACATTTGCTAAACATGTTTTTTTTCTTCTTTTTAAGGGCAGTCAACGATGTTTTTCTCCATTAATCCCAGTCAATGTAAAATTGTTTGTAAATATCATTGCCAAAACAAGATGGAATGTAAAGATACTTGATTGTCTGTCCCAATTTAGGGAATGGGGTTATTGTTACTAATGACTTTTTTTTTTTTTTTCATGACATAGTGTATTTGTTACCACTGGATCTCAGTCTGGATGTTATAAATTTGATACTTAATCTCACTAAATACTCTGCACATTTTATTAATTAAATAGGACACTTAACATTCATTGTACTGGTTTTGAAAAACCGACATAATTTGTAAATGTAACAAGATACTTACAGTTGGATAATTTAAATGTCTGTTACTTGTGCTGAAATGTATTGTAACTTTCAAAACCATTACAGTTAGTGCTGATTTTGTTTTAACTTTTAGGTTTGTGATTGAGGATTTCAGAGTGGGTTTTTTTTTAATGCTTAATTGAATATTGTATTCAAACAAAAAGGGGTCATGCATGTGACTTGTTGCTAATATGTGTCCATTTTAAAAAGGAAAAAGTGGTATCTAATGAGTTAATCATTAAGGAGTATGCGCAGTGCCGGCCATTTCAGGACATGAAAGAGTTTCTGTGGAGCTGCTTGAAACAGGAAGGAGCGACTTGACATCAAGTATTTAAACTTTTTGATTTATGTTTTGATAGACGGCATTGATAGGTGTAAATTACAAATAAGTTTGAGTAACCAGTTTAATATGTAAGCTGGTATTTCATCTACAGAAATTTCTCTGTCATTGTTTGAAGCTCTTAAAAATGACTCAGAGCAGGGGTGTTGTAAGAAAAAACACTAGCAGTGAGTTAGGACATCAAATGCTTTTAAAGATGGATATATGTCGCTGCGATAGTATATATTAGAATCAGCTGAAGCTACCGGTGAGGTTTTGGTTATTTTCTTTCAGTCATCTGAGTCCATTTCCAATAAAGGATTTTTGTTTTGTTTTGTTTTTAATGGGGACAATGAATGAGGCTTGTAATATGCAGCAGGAAGTTTCACCAAGACTTTGAAGCTGGCAAGAATGATCCAGATGTCCAATTGCCTCTACTTAATCTTACTCGTCTACTTTCAGAAGTAATTAGATTCTCCTCCACACTAATTCCTATCTCCCATCGCTCTGCTTTTCACCACTACATTTTTCCAAGATTCATCCTCGGGAAAAAATTGAGAGCCACACCTTCGGTTCCACCTGCAGCTCCTGGAAATCAAATGATGAAATTATAAAAAGTACCTTAACTTGGAGTGAGGTGGCCTAGTCATAAGTTTTGCCCTATTCCTTGCCATGGGGTAGGGCGGGGCTTCCTCCAGTCATCCAGTCTTTCTTCACCCGCAGGTACCCCAGATCTATCCCCCTTCATTGACTCCGAGGGGATACAGCAGCAATTCATGTTTTGAAGTGTTCTAAATGGTTCAAAACGTGAGGCGCTGCTATACCCCCTCGTGGGGAAGGTAGAAGGTGGGGTCTGCCGGACGCGTGTTCCTGCCACCAGGTGCCGCTCCCCGCGAGGCCGGCTCAGGAGCAGGTAGGTGGGCGGGGGCTCGCGTCTCTCTTTCCGGCGGGTCCTCGACCTTCCTTGTCCATGCAGCAGGACTGTAGTCCGGGGAGGGCAGTATTCCTGGCTGGGCTAGGGGTGGCCGGTCCAGGGCGCACATAGGCGGTGCGAGTCGAGGAGGGACCCGGTGCCCGCGCTCAGCCGTGCCCTAGCAGCGGGAACAGTTCTGCAGTGAGTGATCAGTACTCTGGAGTATTGTTTCCGCTGCCAGGGTAAGTCTGGGACTGCCGTTCGGGCCTACCCAGCAGGTAAGTCTTAGGCCATCGCCTGCGGCGTGGGCCCTGGGAGCAGCGCGACCCAAGATTGCATCAAACGTTTGCCCCGTCCTTGCATATGTGACTGGACGTGAATGATGCTTCATTTTGGCACCCCCTTTCCCTGCTCAGGTAGAATTTAAACAATTGAAAAAAATCCCTTCCCAATCAGAATACCATCCACAGGACAACGAAGAAAACCCATCTTCAGTCCCCAACCACGAAATGGTGGGGGGTGGGGAGGACTGGAAAAGGAGTAAGGGGAGAGGAAGGGTGAGCAGCTGCAAGGTTCCTGGTAAACGCGCTCACGTCCTGGGTATGGAAGGGACTTAAGAGTTCAGGAAAGATAAAAGTAACAGGCTGCTTCCCCACTCCCTCGCCCTCCCTTCCCCGCTGCTGGGTTAGGGAGGCTCCATGGAGCTCCAGCACCCTAGAAGGACCCGGTGAGGCGCGAGGCCTTGCGGGCGGATGAACCCGTGGCGGGATGGAAGGCGCCAACCTGCCCAATTTGAGTCTGAGGCCTGCTGAGAAGCGTGGGGGCCTTGGGATAGTTCCCGAATGAGGATGTGCGTTTCTAGCTTCTTTGCGCCCTCCTCTCCCAAAAATCTGCTACCACAATTCCACCCTGGAGGCGCGCCCCCAAGACTCCTTTGTCGCCCCAGGGGCGGGACCTGAGCTGTCGATTTCAGGGGCCCTTCGTGACTCCAAAAGTCCTGGGCGCTGTGGCTCATGAGTGCTGCACAACTGTCGCCCTCCAAAGCCACCTCCATCCCTCACTGGGCTGGCCTCCTGAGCCTTCGGTGAGGACATGGGGTTGCGAGTTGCCCGCCTGGGAGCTTGATAGCCTGACTGGAAAAGGGCTAATTCGCTAACTTTCTGTTCAAATCACTTGAGCTAATTATTTGATCTGAAACATGGGCAGGTAAAGGACCATTGGCGGGCGTGGGGAGGGAGGCGTGGAATCTTTCCCACACTTTTTGTCACCTTTCAACAAAAGCTACAACACACCCAAATGCCTCTGGTCTGAATGGGCTGGCTAGAACTGGGCTTCCCGGGACCAGGAGTGGGCCCCTAGAAGTTTCCCAGTTTGGGGTGGGGCCGGGGTTCCGGAGTCCAGAGCTGGGAGTCGGGTTCAGCGGCCCGAGACGCTGGCTCTCCCAGACTCCCTTGCGCCGGGGCAGTGCGCGGGGGCGGCTCGGGTCCCTCCCGGGCCGACGGGGACCCTCAGGCTCCCGGGGCGCCGCCCACCAGCCCGACCCGGCGGAGACTCCCAGGCCTGGAAGCCCCCATTCTGCTCCCGCCCCGCCCCGGCCGGCCAGCGCAGGGCCCTTCAGGCCCGCGATCTCCAGGCTCAAACGGCGAACAGGTCCCCGCATCCGCCTGCCTTTGCACTTGGGGGTGGGGGAGCCACCTTGTGACGCCCCTTCTGCCTCTCACCAGCTTCCCCCTTTCTCCCCGTTCTGTACGGTTCCCCCTGGAGCCAGAAGGAAGCCCGGTGCCAGCCAGCCTTCCTGAAAAGACCAAGCCCGCGCCATCCGGCTTCCTCCAGTGGACGCCTGCAGGACCCAGGTGAGATACGGGACTGGTTGGGGACGCGAGGGGCGGAGGGCGGCGACCAAGGGATCCTGACTTGGGGGCGTTGCCTCCCGGAATCCAAGCGGCCTTTTGCCCGGGTCTCCCGAGATGCATCGAAATTGAGCTAGTCCACATAGCCCCCCGACTGCGTGGTGCCCTTTTCTGACTTAAAACATTCCTTGTACCTTTATTTACACGATCCAAGTTGCAGTGTGCCTAGATTTTCCTCCAAGGACAAAAATGTGAATAAAGCAATATTTTAGCCAAACATTTCCGTATCAATTAAGAAGATTGCAATTCGTTCCAGACTATAAATTCTCTTTAACAACTCCCTAAGGTATTCTTTTAAATTGTTTTTCAACGTTGCTAAATGTGCATCATAATGTGTGGGAGACTTGTCTAAAGTGAATCAATTTATACTCGGTTGATTAATTGACCCGATGTTACCACCTCCAAGGCGGCACCTTTCCACTATTTTCTCATTTTTTCCCCAACACATGTTATTTGTTAGTGAGGAAGCTGCGTATACGTGGCATTGTATAAAGTTTATTAGGCAGACGTGGCCCTTAAACTAGGAAGAGCTTAGTATAAATCTAAATCTAAAATTCGACATTTCGGTAAGTTATGAGACAAGATACCCAGGTTGTTCGATAAACCACAATTGAACATAATTTTTTAAAAATTTAAATCACAGGAATGTTTTTCTTGAAGGCATCCGGCATCTCCAGTTAGCAGTACTGATTTTTTTTTTTTTTCTTTTTCCGACAAAGGAACACTACATCAACACTCTTGGCGGGGATCTGGACAAGAAGACTCCTGTTTCAAGAAAATACAATCATCTCTCAAAGGCTGTAATTTATATGCATTTTAAAACTCTCTAGGCATTGAAAACCACCCAAGTGTCCCAAATAGAAGGGTAAAATATAATCAGTCACTCGGTGTAATATTATACATCCTTTAAAAATGTTATTGGGAAATGTTTTGTGATCTGTAAGTCCAAGGAATCTTCTCCCACCATTTCTTTCTCCCCACTGTTCCCCCATACCCACACTTCTTTGTTCCAATTGGCATGTAAATTTGGTTTTCCCGCCAAATGAGTCAGTCATGATGGTAACATCAACTGATTTGAACAGATGTGTGTCAATGTTACTTGGAAAACTAGATGTCAATAACCAGAGCCACAGAAAAAGGCAGTGGTTGCAACTCTGTAAAAATGTATGCATGCACACACACAAGGACTAAAGTGGAACCCCACACAGGAAAACAGTGGGCTGTACTCCAGTGCTGGGACATTGAATGACTGTATGATGCTTTTGATTTCCGTTAATATGGGCAACTGTCCAATTAAAAACTCCTAAGTACTCTGCAGTGCAAATTGTTTTGCGGATTGTTTTAAAACACCATACCTATCAACTCATCAAGGCAGATGGGGCAGCAGGGGACTGGGTTCGTTCCCTGAATCCTGGACTGCTATAGAGTTCAGGGCAACATTTGCAGAAAACCTGAGCCTATGAGATGGGAGTTAACTTACAGGCAGCTTTCCTGAGACTGTGCAAGATGAAAATAAAACTAGGTTCAAAAAATATGTTTGGGGAAGATCAATGAGTTTATCGATAGAAATTAAAAGACTTGAGTCAGGGGCTATATTGCAAGTTGGCATATGTTTTTAGAGATCTTTTTCCCCATTGGCCTGCAGTATGACTTAATCTCATAACCCTAGAATTTTATATATGCATTTGTATTTAGAGTTATCACATGACTCTTAAGCAAAAAAGAGTATATATACATCAAGTATAGCAAACATGTATCTCCCTGCCCCCCTACATCCCACTCAGGCCCACCCATTAGTTACTGCTCAGTGAATAAACAAGGATTGTCTAGCTCTTTCATAATATTTCACCTATCTGCCACCTTTTCCTCCCTCCCCAGCTCCACAGCTGATCTCTTTGGCAAGTTCCGCCAGGCTTAAAACCCCTGTGGGGATAGTAAATTGAGCCAAGAGGGAGGAGTCCCGAAAGACTTCCACTTCCTGTGGTTGTTTGGGCCTTTGAGCACTCCCCATTCCACTACTGAGCTCTATAATCTGAGCAATTGGTGGGAGTTTGGAAACATGGCCTTGGCTCCACTGCTGGAGTCAGGGAGCTCAGAACACTGCAGCAACGTGAGAGTGAGAGTCTTGGTAGCTTTGAAGTCTGAGTCTCCCAAGTCAGTTCCCTCACGTGTTCCCTCATGTCCACCCCCACCTGCCATCCAGATGAGACTATTACCCTAAGACCAGACCTTCTAAAGGCGTGGCCACAGAATCACCAGTATCCCAACATCCTGCCTTTGTATCGTGTGTTTACATACTTTTCCAAATACTTTCTTCTTTTTTTTTTTTTTTTTTTTTATTTTTTTGAGCCTTGAGAGACAAACAGAGTTAAGGCAGTCCAAAAAATAATTACAGACAAGAAAACTGGGGCCTCTGCAGGTTAAGGATTTGTCTGAGGCTAATCTCTGGGGGCTCTTCCTCCAAGCCTCATACTGTGTTCCTTATGTCATTATCTGTTCATCAGAACCGACTATGCAGTAGTGACCAGAGCAGGAAGTGGAAGTGAATGTGTTTGGTTACAAAAATTCCAGGTGAAACTGACTAGTCTTATGATGAACTTTGGCCTATACATCGAACACTTTCTGGGCGAGGCCCAAGATTGGCCCCAGGATTACTTAATAGTGACTATAAGTTACCCAGCCGTGTACAAGTCAATCTGCACAAACCAAAAAAGCATGATTTAAATTCCTTTTAAACCTCTGTCCCATATTTGTTATTTTCTGTAGATTCAATCAAATTATCTTAAGGAAACAAATGAAGTGTCCAGCTATAGGGGTTGACTTAATCTAGTCACTCACTCAATGGAACCTTTTTCAGCCATTACAAATAATAATGATAGAGACTATACAGAAACCTGGAAAATGCTTATGATATCAACTTTAAAAAAAATCAGGGCCACAAAATCACATGGACACCATGATTGAAAAATAGGAGCAGAACCTGGAGGAAACCTGCAAAACAGACATACTTGTTACTTAAGGGTGGTGGGATTAGAGCTGAAGTTTCTTCTTTCTCTACTTTTTCATGGTGTGTGTGTGTGTGTGTGTGTGTGATGCCACGTTTTCTTGTTACATTGCCAAAATATAATTCTCTAAAAAGTCTTTAGGGGTCATGGGTGATACAGAAATTTGGGATCAGTCAAGGATGCACAGACCTCAGACGTCTCGGGGATCATCATGTCACGAGATACCACTGTGCACTTGTGACAGATTGATAACTGAAAGGTCTGGGAGCCACTCATCTTCATAGCAAAACACGTGGTAAGTATTACAAGACGAATCAATGAAACTATCAGGAAGAAAGTGGGCCCTAAGCAAAGAAAAAAGGGGTTGCTATGGGTTGGGGGGGATGAGTTGTGTTTTCATAGGAGTGTAATGGGAATGTCCTTAACTATTTGTGTCTTTATTGCTTCAAATGTCTGTTGAATGAATTGAAACTTACATAGGGTATATGATTTTATACTTGTGCTAGCATGCTAAAATAAAGAATTTATGCTCAAGCAAACAACTGGAAAACATTTTGCTATAAGCATTATAGACACAGGGTCATTTTTAATATGTTGACTCCACACAAGTGGTCAAGAAAAACCATAAAAACTACATGAACAGAAAGCCCCAGTTAAAAAAAGCATGAAGATGCTTATTTCAATATTTTAAGGATGGAAGTTAGGAACATCCTGAATGACCAACAACAAAGGATTGGACAAATAAAATACAGTGTAGCTAGTAATGTTTCTGAAACTAATTTTCATGTCATGAGAATGTGCTCCTGATAAAATATTTAGCGATTGAGAAAAGGTACAAAATATTTTCCTATCTCTGCAATGTAGGTATATAGGGAGCATTCTACAGGAATAGTTTTGTATCGACATACAGATAAAAGGCTAGGAGGAAACATATAAAAATTTTATTGTGATTATCTCTGAGTTGTGGCATAAAAGTGACCAAAGAAAGATGCTAAACTATTTTTGCGATGTGTTCCTAATATGTAATATAAATGTATTGGGGACATTTTGCATTCATAGTTTTGTATCAATAATATGGGGGGGAAAGGCCATCAGGAAGTATACCAAAAGTCTAGAGGTGGTTATCGCTGACTTGTGTCACTATAGGCAATCAAAAATGATACTAAACTGTTTTTGCGTTGTGTTCCTAATATGTACTATAAATATATTGGGAACATTTTGCATGTGTAGTTTTGTATCAATATACAGATGAAACGATGGAGGAAATAAACCAAAAATCTAACAGTGGCTATCTGTGGTTTATTTCTGTGATAAATGTAAGATGCAGAATTATTTTTGCAATATGTTCCTGAATATGTAGTATAAGCGTATTGGGATCATTTTGCATCCATAGTTTTGTATCAACATATGGAGAAAAGTCTAGGAAGAAATATACCAAAACTTGTGACAGTATTATAGGTAATGTTTGTTTTTCTCTTTATACTTTTATGTATTTTCCAAGTAATATTTGTGTAAACAACAAAATGCATTACTTTTATAGCAATAATAAAACATTTTATTTTTTAAAAGTTTGTATGTTTTTTAAAGCATGAACTGCTGACATAAGGGTAGGGGAAGACTTCCTATTTGGCCAGCAGTGGGCCTAGAATACTTTTTCAAACATATCTGGGAAACCTTTGTACAGCTTCAGTTGGATCTGCAGTGCAAATGTGTTTTCATTTGCTCTTGGCAAAGGAAAGAGAAAGTATAACTTAAAAATATAACCACAACAGAGTTATAATAGTAATATTACTAAACCAACTGCTATCTCCTGTCTAATCAAAGTAACATTTAAAGAAGCACAGAAAGCTGAAACAGGCTCCTTTTCCTCTAGTAGCAATTCAGGAAGGCGGTACTTGGATGCTCGCCCAGGGCCTCAAGACACGTTGGCCACTTTGAGACATGCCCAAGTCAGGAAAACACCTTACAGAAAGGTTATTTCCACTCAGCCAACTTCTTGCAGATGCAGGTAAGGCCGCCCTGCATTTTCCCGCAAATTCAGCTGAGCTCCATAATAACTCTGGTGTTGCGGAACACATGTGACACCCCAAGTTAGGCAATCCCTGTTCTGGTAAGAGAGATGGAACCATTTGGTCACGTACCTGGCCCATGGTCTGAAGGGCACCTACCAAGGTTTTAACGTTCCTCAGTGGCACTGATATGAACAGAGACA